TTTATATAGTAAGTTGCCAGACTGGCTTAAGGTCAATCTGTCCTTAATAATGTTGTTGATGAAAAACAATCACCTGTCTTTTTTTTTTTTCTTTTGAGAGGTTTTTGCTATAGGATACGTGCACTTGCCAGGAGGTTTTTTTCAGAAAGTAAGAAATCACCCCCCCAGGGGGATGGCCATGCTGCAATCCCTTCTCCTTCTCTCAGGATCTTGGGCATGCATGCACACGTGCCTGACGTGAGTTTAAGCCACCAGGTCTGAGACTCCAATTGTGGTCACTACATGGGTGTCCAGAGACACAGCCATTATGCCAACTGCTGGTCCCAATCATGTGTTATTTTTTAAAAAGATTTATTCATTAATTATTTTTATTTATTTATTTATTTTAAGAGAGGTTTTTACTATAGGGTGCATGTGTTCACCAGAAAGACAGAAAGAGACAGAGAGACAGAAAGCAAGAAATCACCCCCCAGGGAGGGGGATGGCCATGTATCAACCCCTTCTCTTCCATTCTCCTCTTGCTATCTTGGGCACACATGCACATGCGCCCAGTGTGAGTTTAAGCCACCAGGTCCAGGACTTAACGACATAGCCATTACGCTAACTGCTGGTCCCTCATTAATTTATTATTATTCTTCAATTTGACCAGAGAGAGACACAAAGAGAGAGGGTGAATGAGAGAGAAAGCAAGCCGCCAGGTCCAGGACTTAAACCGGTTAACCATGTGGGAGTCTACCACCTTAACTACCACACAACCTGCTGGCCCCTCATCTGTCATTTTTATACACACACTTTATACACTAAACCAGGGCTGGCAAACTGTAGAGTCCATGAGTCAAATCTGACCAAGCATTTGTCTTACTATGTCCTGTAGGCTAGGAATTTTTAACATTTTTTAAAAAAGAAGTATTTATTAAATTTTATTATTATTATTTTAATTTGACTGGAGAAGAGACATGGAGAGGGAAAGTGAGAAAGCAAGTCGCCAGGTCCAGGACTCGAACCGTAGATGGCCACATGGGAGTCCAGTGCCGCCTTAACCACCATGATATTTGCTTTTTTTTTTTTTTTTTTTTTACATTTTTAATTGGCTGAAAAAAAAATCAAGATGTTTTGTAAAAAACAATCTGAAATTCAAATTTCAGTGTCTACTTACAAAGTTTTATTGAAATATAGCCATGCTCATGTCCCCCTATTAGTTATGTCTCCTTTTCCACTAAAATGTTGAGTGATTGCAAGAGACCACAGAACTGAAAAGCTAAGACATTTTCTTTACAGAAGCCTGCTGACCTTTGCACTAGACCCAAATAGAGCTTTGGAGGTACCAAAGTTCCCAATTACAGATTTTTCATTTCTGGCTACTAAAAATGGGAGAAGGATGATTCAATAGGGGCAGTATTTTCTAAGGATCTGATAAGGGAAAGACTAGAACACACAAATATTGGGTTGTCGGGAAGGTCAGGATGTTTTTTTCTATGCAAATATGTGATACAACCCTATACAGCAGGCTATCTTAGGTAGGATACAAAAGCCTGAACAAATCTAGGAGGGCTTATCCAACTGAAAAAGCACTTGGAGAATCTGGGTAACAGGGGCAGCGC